TGTGGCCTGGAACACGGGGAGGGGGGCTCTGGGGCAGGCTGACCGGGGGCCCTGTGTGCTGTGTGCGACCCCTGCCCATGAGCGGCCTTGGTTTGCGCTGAAATGGCCCTGTAGGGACAGGGCCGAGTAGGGCTTGGCCCTCGGGCCCCACCTGGCTTCCCGGGTCCTGGGGCTCTCCCTGGAGTCTGATCTCAGGGACCCTGGCCGGTGCTGCCCTGAGGGTCTGGCTTGGGCAGGGCTGGTGGGGACAGGCTGCCACCCTCCACCCGCCTGACGAGGCCGCCCACCCATTCCCCCCCGCGCAGAACTGAGCTGCTCCAAGAACGAGAAGGAGCTCGAGGAGCTGCTTCTGGAAGCCAGTCAGGAATCCGGGCAGGAGACACTGTGACACTTTAGGTGAGATGAGGGCCAGGGGCCTGGGGAGCCAGCGAGAGAGGCCCTGGCTCTGACAGGCCCCCCAATCTCTTCTCCCCAAGTTCCTTTTTTCCAGCCGGTCTTCTATGAGCTGAGGCCAGAGCCATGAGAACCTGCTCACCCTCACCCCCAGCCTTCCTGAGGCCCAGAGGCCAGGGGTGGGGGCGCCTTTCAGGGGACCCCTACCTCCCACAGCAACACTACACGGGGTGCAGGAGCTACAGGGAGTGGCCCTGTCCGTCCTGACTGGAGCACTCCTGTTTATGTGTCCAGCCCCTACGCCTCTGGGCCAGAGGAGGGGGAGTCTCCAAGGTCATCAGCCCCAAATCCACTGACTTTTCCGGAAGGGCCTGTTAGGCCAGGCTTGCCTGGGAGGGCAGGAGTCCTGGGTGGTGGTGGGATGCCCCCCAACCCCCATGGCGCTGGGCACGACGAGGCAGGAGGATGGTGTGGGGCAGTGAGTGGTGGTGGTGGTTGGACTTTGTAGAGCAGCCCCAGACAGGGTGCGGGTGGGGGATGGGGGCAGAGGATCAGAGCTTTCTTCTTAAGTGCAATAAATCTATCAGGGAGCTGGTGGGGGCGGCCAGGGCTCTGGGGACCCTGCTGTCCAGGCCGCTGGAAGCTGCGCCCTGAGAGGCACTACGACCCGGGGAGGGTGGGGTGGAGTGGGCAGAGGGCTGGGGAGGGGCTCCTGTCGGTGCAACTCTGTCCACACCTTTTCTAATAAACCAGAGCTGGTTCACCTCTGCCTTCTCTGCTCGTGCTCTTCCCGGTGGGAGTTCTGGACATGGGAGGGGAAGGTGGGCAGACAGCTCTGGTCCGGAGCACCTGCTGGGCTGTGGCAGCGGCCCCCCAGGAGACCCGGGGCTGCCCGTCCTGTACGGGTGTCCACATTCGTATCTAACAGCTCTCACGGCTAGTCCACTCTGTGCTCATCTTTCTTCAGAGGAAAAAACCCCAAATACTCTCCAGCTTTAGGTCCAGGGGTCAGGTGATGTGGCGCTCAGGTTCAGAGGTCACTCCTGTGCCCCCCAGTCACCGAGGGCTCAAGGAGAAGCAGGCACCAGCCTGTCCGCGCTGGCCCTGGGAG